TTTGAAACTGTCTTATTGCTATTTGTTTCTCAATAAAAAAAGAACAAAATCTTAAAAGCTCTTACAGAAACTCTCATCTATCACTTACAAAGATAAACTCATTAGAGTTACAGCAGATAGCTCAACTCATACCTTCAAGGCTAGAAGAACTGAGATGTCTCAAGCCTTAAAGAAATCAACTTCCAATCCAGATTAATAATTATCTTCCAAAATTCATACACAAATTAGGTCTTCCCATGATAAAGAGCACCTTAAGAAATTTATTACTATCAAATCAGCACTCCAAAAATCTCAAGGATATCTTAGAAATAGACAATGAGATCAATAATGCCAAGAAGTCCACAGGAGTGAATATACCTGGTGGGGTAAGCAGTTCAACAGAGGGGGGAAGGGAAGAACAATAATGGGAATGCATTAACACCTCAACTCAAATGTGTTACCTCAGCATAACCATCAAATCAAAAGACACAGACTGGGGCCAGGAAGATAGCTTGCGGTCTCCAGCCTGCCTGGCAAGCACATGGACTGAGGTTTGATCCCCAGTACCATATGCCATGCTGGCCCCACACCAAGCCAGCCACCAAAACCCAGCATGGTGGTGCACACCTGTAATCCCAGTCCTGTGTTTTAATCCAAAAAGAAATTCACAGGCTAAAAATCAAAGGACAGAAAGCAGTACTCCATGCAATGAGAGTCTGAAAACAAGTACAGTAGCTATCCTATTTTCAGACAAAACAGATTTCCAAAACTGATCAGAGGAGGCAAAGGAGGTCACACTACATATTAGTAAAGGGAATAATTCAACAGGAAGAGATAAGAATTATAAATGTATGGGCTAGTGAGATGGCTCAGTGGTCTAAAGCACCTACTTAGAACAAGCTAAGCAAAAGCACAGGGACCACGGTTCAATCCCCAGCACCACATGCCAGCCAGCCCCGCCCCCTGGTGGGCTGAGCTGGCCACACACACACAAAATAAATAAATAAATAAATATAAAAGAATTATAAATGTATATGCACTAAACAGCAGCATACTGAAATTCATAAAACAACCACTACTGGATCCAAAAAATCAGGTAAAATCTCATTAATCAGGGACTTCACTCCTCTACTTTCACACACAGGCAGATCAACTAAACAAAACAAAAACACCTCCCAAAAATAGAATTGAACTGCATCTTTCAATACATGAATTTGAT